TAGTTAAGTTAATTTACGCACTATTTTACTGATTTAATCACAGAATAGTTGTGATAATAAATGAACTACTATGGTATGATAAAGAAGAAGATCATGACAATTCGAAGGGTATCAAAATCTAAGCTACGCGGATATTAGAAGTTCAATTGTTAGAACTAAGATATGTTCTTTGAAGAGTAAAGTCAATCTTAATGTTATCCATAATATTGTTTTCATGTTTTTTTGGTTTTCTTGGGACATATCGCAGTCCAATATATTTGGAAGTGATCAATTTTAGTACTTTATCGATTAAACTCATGTGACCGAATTTCATTTAATTAAAGAATTGAAAATATAAACAATTAGTAAGTCTTTGAAAAAAGTTTAAGCAGATAAATATCCAAATTAAACAATTCATAATAAGTAATAGGTATATCACACGCTGCATAATCAGCGTTATAAGAACACACAACTCACCGGTTTGTACAATCGGCATTATATATTCCCTGCAGTTCCAACAAAATGGTTGAGACAAGTATTTCTCGGAGTATGCATTGAGTAAAAATATTCTTACTCAATGGTTAAAGCTGAAAAAATAAAAATTGAGTCACAACGAGTCCATGTGACACAAAAATAACTCAAATACTATTTCCCCGATTTCTGCGACCGATTTTTATGAAATTGCCATCACTTCATTTTTAAGATTTTTTGAGTGATGCACACTCTATGTATATATACTCTTTGCTGCTGCGGAGCAGTAAATTCAAACCCTGATATTAAATGCAGGGACCGTAACAGTTATCATAAAAAAAATAAAAATCATCTTATAACTGTTATCATATGCATTTTAAAATAAAACTCAAAAAATAATAATTAAATTTGATTTTTATTATATTCATCAAAAATAATAATTATTATATGCCTTTTATTTTTTTCGCGCAGCAATAACTCTTAAAATTTGCTTCTTATTTTAAAACGCACAAATAACTGGTATACTTGCGTTATTTAATATAAAAAGCAAGAGTATCGCGCAAATTCTGCGCGGATATTTTTAAAATGAAAATATAAAATGCAATTTTCATACAAGGTAGTTGTTTTTGCAATTCCGTAGAAAATGTTTGAAAAGGTTGGTGCAGGTAAAGATTTAGTTCAGTTTTTTGTTTTTGTATTTTGGATTCATATTTTGTATTTAACTTTGTATTTTGTAGGAGAACAAATTTGTATGCAAAATACAAAAACAAAAAACTAAACTAAATCTTTACCTGCACCAACCTTTTCAAACATTTTCTACGGAATTGCAAAAACAACTACCTTGTATGAAAATTGCATTTTATATTTTCATTTTAAAAATATCGCGCACAATTTGCGCGATACTCTTGCTTTTTATATTATATAACGCAAGTATACCAGTTATTTGTGCGTTTTAAAATAAGAAGCAAATTTTAAGAGTTATTTCTGCGCGAAAAAAATAAAAGGCATATAATAATTATTATTTTTGATGAATATAATAAAAATCAAATTTAATTATTATTTTTTGAGTTTTATTTTAAAAAGCTCATATATAAAAAGCATGCATAATATTAAGGATAAAAGTTGTTAGAATGATAACTATTTACTTAAATAAGAGTTTAGACAACTTTTTGTTGCTGCTTTTTTTCATAAAAAATTTTAAAATAACTGTTATTTTCGGTCCCTGATTAAATGCATGCAATTTTACGTGCTGCTTGCTGGTGCCAAGCATTAATTTCAAAAACAAATAATTACACCAAAAACTAATTTGACTCTTTTCTTGTACTGCCTGCCTTCGTAACAAGCAAATCTGTTTATTGTTTTCATTTTTGTCCTTCATTCATCAATAGTAAAATTTTTAGAAAGAACAAGCATAAGCGCGATCGATCTAGCAGCAGCGCAGAAAGAAGTAAAATCTTCACTCCGCCCTCCCGTGCCTTTTTCTGAAAATTTAAAAATTGAGTCATTGTGACTCTATAATATTTTTACTCAATGGCATAACTCAATTCTCAAATTAATGCTTTATGTTCTCAATGAGAGAAAAATGCTCAAAAACTCAAAAATTTGCAAAGTGAAAAGTGAAAAGTGTTGGTGCAACAGGGCCCAGGTTACAACAACTTGAAAAGGAAAATAGAGAACTGCGAAAAAAAATTGAATAATGCAGTTTTTTTCTAATTATTATGTTTTTTTGTTAATATTATAATAATTTTTCTTATTATTATAATGTTTTTACTCATTATTATAATGTTTTCTCTGATTATTATGTTGTTCCTAATATTATAACATTTTTTTTTATTATTATCTTTTTTTCTCATTATTATAGTGTTTTTTCTTATTATTATGTTTCTTTTTTATTATTATAATGTTTTTTCTTATTAATAAAATAATGTTGAACAAAATTAAATTATTGAATTAAATCATTTTTAATATTTTGACTACTGAAAACTGTCATTATCATTATTCTGACCTGAATAACGGAATAAAAAGGTGATGTAGTTAAGAAAACATATTTAGAGCGTTTGATTGTTAGAATTTTAATATTCATATATTTAAATTAATTATATATTATATAAATATTAATACATTACATAGTATATTATACAGATACAGCGTTCTTAATTTAATACTTTTCGTTACTTTTTGATCACATTCTGTAAGTCTACTCTATGTGGCTAAAAACTAAAAGATTCAAATAATGCAACGAAAATTAAGTTGAACAAAATCAATTACCAAAATCTTTATGATTTATATTAAGCCAATAGAACTCATTGTTTCTCCTTTCCATTTACCTAAAGTGCTTCATGAAAATAAATCTATAAAATAAGTTGTTTTCAAAACCAACGAAATCAGAGCAATTTACTTACAATTTTGCAAAATATTTAATATTCTACAAACTTTAACAATGTGATTGATTACCTAGTACACCTTGCAGTAAAATCTTCAGTACTATCCACATTTACAGGTAATACGATTCTCTTCTTTTCCCCTACCTATTATACTGCGTAGAATCATGCCATGAATAAAGGTTACCGATTGTAAAGAGTTATCAGAATTAAAAGTCTCCGTAATTTCTTCAGTTCTATTTACATTTATTACAGTTAATATGATTTTCGATAGAATCATATGATGAACTATTTTTTATATATACTTATGTACATACATGTATTTACAATACAACGTCATATACATTTCCTTAAAAAATAAAAGCTATTAGAATTACTAATTAACTTAATCAATATATTATTTTACCGTAACCTAAATTAATTAAAAACATTTATTTTGTTATTTTGTTATTTTATTATTTTAAGATATTAATATTCAGGTATTTATGTAATATACAAAGTGTTTCAATATTAAAGGATAAATTAATAAGTATTTAATTAATTAGTATTTTAGAAGTTCTTTAAAAAAGCATGAATTTTTTCAACTTTCGTCTCTAGCAAAGTTTTTGCGTTGAGCACGAAAGAACTCCATCGATGGTGCAACTACCCGCTTTTGGAACAGTGCACTCTCCTGTGTCCCTCGATGGTGCGCAGCTGTTTAACCACTCTCCACGCACTTGGATGTCCCTCGTTGCCATCCCGGGATGGTGGACGCTTACTTAGAGCCGGCGTCTACTCGGCTCAGCTCAGGAGCTTCTCAGGGTTATTGTGACCTTTTAAGCCACACCCTCCGACGCCTGGCTGGATTTTAGTCGTCTCGTACGAAACAATTTAAATTTAATTAAAAACTGTGTATAAAACAAACTTAGCTTTAATAAGCATATACAGCCATAGTCAAAAGTATTTACACAACGAAAGTTTTTGTACATATTGCAAAAAAACATGTTTTTATTGTTGTTGTTGGACGTCAGTTGCAAAAAATTTTTTTGTTGTCACTTAGTTTTATCTATGCTGAACCAAATAAAAAAAGAATTGGAAAGATAACTGTTCATTTGACAAAAATATAAGCAAATGCACTGATGCTTATTAGCTGTCAAAAGTATTTACACATATTTTTTTTGCGTCAAAAGTATTTACACAAAACATTAATTAGCATTTATTGTATTGTTATGCAAAATATTACATAAAATAGTGTAAAATCTAGTTAAAAATAAGAACATATGTGAAAATTTAATAACTTTGAAGAGAACTGGGCGGGCAGTTATTGATGCCAAAGGTGGTGTAACCAAACATTAATTATATTAATTAAATAAGCATAAAAAAAATTTTAAAAAAAATCATCAATTAAGAAGAAGAAAATGAAATCAACGTTTTGTGTAAATACTTTTGAGTTAAAAAAAAATATGTGTAAATACTTTTGACAACTAATAAGCATCAGTGCATTTGCTTATATTTTTGTCAAATGAATAGTTATCTTTCCAATTCTTTTTTTATTTGGTTCTGCATAGAAAAAACTAAGTGACAACAAAAAATTTTCTTGCAACTTACGTCCAACAACAACAATAAAAACATGTTTTTATGCAATATGTACAAAAGCTTCCGTTGTGTGAATACTTTTGACTATGGCTGTATTTTAGATATGAAATTAAGTTATTTTTAACCAAAATAATCGATGGTGTCTTCTTCAGTGTAATCGATGGTGTAAGTTCTCACTTACAGTGAGCGACAAAACTCTACATACACCCCCCATTTCTGCTGGCTCGTAAATTCAAAGACATAATAGAAAAAAGTAATGATACAGTTTTGTTTAGAACTGTTTTTTAATAATAATAAACAAACGAAAATTCATTCATCAATATAAATTAACAAAGTTATTCCAAAAAAACCTAAAAAATCATTGACAAAAGTCTACATACACTTCATTGATTGTTACATATAGTACCGACTACATATCGACTATATGTAACAATCAATGAAGTGTATGTAGACTTTTGTCAATGACTTTTTTAGGTTTTTTTCGAATAGCTTTGTTAATTTATATTGATGAATGAATTTTCTTTTGTTTATAATTACTAAAAAAAACAGTTCTAAACAAAACTGTATCATTACTTTTTTCTATTATGTATTTGGATTTACGGCTAGCAGAAATGGGGGGTGTATGTAGAGTTTTGTCGCTCACTGTATATGGAAATTATAAAAAAGTCCCGCATTGCATCCACAATATTATGTAGTAAATTAGTTTTCAAAACAATGTCAAATCCAGTCTCACAAAGTGGGCGGAGTTTCCGTTCATGTGGAGATATTCTTTGGTAAACACAATCATCTATTTTTCTGAAATATATAATACATAAAAGGTATAATTATTTATTAACAACTTAATATAAATTTTACTTGTATCATCAACCAAATTTCTAAGAAATTTCTAAGAAATTTCTAATAATTTTTATACATTTTCTGATGCCTAGGTCTCAAAAATACATCGCTTCCTTTCTCTAACCAATTATCTTCATATGTTTTTATTGAGATTGGAACGAACATGGCTCTTAAAATCTTGTAGTTATGATGTTATATAAGAATTGATTGTTGGGAAACAATGATTATTCTGATGAATGGATTTAAAAGTAAAATAGAAATATTTAAAGTATTCGATGGCGTTAAGATCAATGATATGAATGCGTGATATTATGATATAGTGAAAACTTTTAATGTAAATAGGTTAAAAAAAAATAATTGAACCAACATAAGTTCAAAGTCTGATTTAATGTAAAGTTCAAGAATTTTAGCGAGCAACGTAGCACGTTTAATTAATAAAATCAAAAAGCCTGTTTCATTAAGTAATTATTGAATTGGATTATATTTTAAATACTTAATGAAAAAGAATTGAAAAATTGAAAATTGTGTTAGATGCTAGCAAAACGTTTTGCAAGAAGTAGAGTCTGTGGTAGAATGAAATACGCAGTCACGAAAGAATACGTTAGGATAAGCTTAGGAATTCAATATGTTACTATTCTAAACGTGTACTATATAAATAGTATATTAATAGAAAATATAATAAATTATTTGATAGTATAATTGAAAATATATTTATATAATAATTATAAATGAAAATATAATTGTTTTTAGTACAATTATATTAATTATAATATAATTAATAAAATATAATTAAATAAAAAAATATTATAATTATTAATAATAAAAAATTTTATCAAAAAAATGTTTAACTTACCATTATTTCTTTGTCTTCTAATTTCTTCTAAAAGCTTGTTTTTAATGCTTTTAGGGCATGGCCTTACTTCAATGCTTTCCTCCTCGCTCTCGTCTACACTGTAATATGCAAATATGATTTTATATTGGCTGAATGGGCAATATCTACACTACTTTAATATTTACCTTTCTTCCTCTTCGAGCATATATTTATATGCTCCAGGTATTTTTAATATACGGCGTTTCATGTCCTCATCGCAGTCATCATTTACAGCTACATGTGCTATTGGCGCCAAAACCCTTTTGTGCGGCCTTTTGTAATATGTTTTCCAGATATTTTTAGCACGCATCATTATTTCCTTACTTTGGCTTCTGGTCCGGATTTCCTTTAAAAGCACTGGGTGCTTGCTTTTAATATGGTCTTCCACTACTTTGATCACGTTGGTGTATTCAATAAATTGATCCAATGTGACTGGAAACACTGATCGCCTTTATGAATCAGAAATAAATAAATTATTTTAGCATTTGTTTATTAATTCACTTTAACATACTTTGTTTTGTGGTCCGTTGTTCTATTTTCCATTTTTATTACCAAAAGTTTATTTCTCGTTTTACCTATCAACAATAATGACAATAATAAAAGTAATATAAATAATAGTATTGTTAACAACAAATGGTGCAAAATATTCGTCTAAGTATATGCGTACCTTTTGATCAAAAAAGAACGAGAGGCCTATTTTTGAATTTCCGCGCTTATCCAATCGGTAAATTTTTTTTATTTTTACGCTGGCAACACTATTATACACATTCTGTCAAAGTTTAACGCATATCGAACGATTAGTTTTTGTTTAGCGCCTATACAAAAAGTCGAAAAATTTTCGTGTGGCGGTTTGTAATAATGGATCAAAAATTAGAACAACGTGCGTGAATCAAATTTTGTGTTGCAAATGGATTTAAGTGTGCCGAAACTGTTAAAAAATGTAAAAAAAGACCTTTGGTAATTTGTGTGTGTCGCAACCACGAGTATACGAATGGTTTAAAAGGTTCAAAGACGGTCGTACAAGCTTGAACGATGATGAGATCCCTGGCCGCCTAACAACTTCTGATACTAAAGAAAACATTAAATCGGCGAAGTAGATCGTGTTGGAAAATCGTTGTGAACCGATTAGAGAGATTGCAATGTTGTTGCGCATCTCATATGGATCGGCCGAACACATTTTAACTGATGTTGATGATGATGCGTCGCTTCTCGGCTGGTGGCAAAAAAGCTGATTTTCATTCAAAAGAAGCCGCAGTTTTTGGCCAAAAACTCCACCAATATCATCAACCAAGCACCGTACTCTCCAGATATGGCCCCATGTGACTTTTCCTCTTCCCCCATTGCGAGGAACGCGTTTTGAGACCATTGAGGTCATAAGGTAAAAATCGCCACACGAAAATTTATCGACTTCTTTGTGTGTGTCGCAACCACGAGTATACGAATGGTTTAAAAGGTTCAAAGACGGTCGTACAAGCTTGAACGATGATGAGATCCCTGGCCGCCTAACAACTTCTGATACTAAAGAAAACATTAAATCGGCGAAGTAGATCGTGTTGGAAAATCGTTGTGAACCGATTAGAGAGATTGCAATGTTGTTGCGCATCTCATATGGATCGGCCGAACACATTTTAACTGATGTTGATGATGATGCGTCGCTTCTCGGCTGGTGGCAAAAAAGCTGATTTTCATTCAAAAGAAGCCGCAGTTTTTGGCCAAAAACTCCACCAATATCATCAACCAAGCACCGTACTCTCCAGATATGGCCCCATGTGACTTTTCCTCTTCCCCCATTGCGAGGAACGCGTTTTGAGACCATTGAGGTCATAAGGTAAAAATCGCCACACGAAAATTTATCGACTTCTTTGTATAGTCGCCAAACAAAAACTAATCGTATGATATGCGTTAAACTTTGACAGAATGTGTATAATAGAACGAATAAAGAACGAATTCGTTCTTTTTTGATCACAAGGTATACTTAAAATATTTTCATATACAGTTTGACAACATTCTCTTTGTAATTTTACAATTTCTTATTTTTACCGGAACAGAATACCGTTAGATGTGTCTGACGGTATTCATTTTTATTAAATATGTAAATCACAGTGTTTTAACTGAAGGAATAAGTAGAAAGCACATGATTAAATATACTAGGCAAAAGAACAAATTCAAATATTATTGAGTTAGTATATTATAATTACTACCTCGGTAAATCTGCTAAGGGTTTAAGTGAAATGTTCAAAATTAGGTTAACAACAATTTATAATATCATAAACAGTGCAGAAAATGAGGATCGCATTAGTTCAAAACCAGCAAGCCACCGCATTAAAACATTGTCTGATCGCCATATAAGAAGAATATCAAACCTTCAATCATTATTATACGATTGGAAATTTGTCATTACCTTGCTTACATAACCCAATAAGTGCGTTACATAACTAAGCCTTCAGAATGTCACTAAAGAGCAACAAACGGAAACAGTGAGGACGATCACTGAAAGATAAATACTTAACTCTATAAAAATTTATTGATGGATAACTACCCCAATTTAGTACACAAGAAAAAAAACAACTTATATTAGCTTATAGATACAAGAATCATAAAAAATATATGTTATAAAATATAAGGAATATAAAAGATATAGAAACAATAATATAAAAATCCATACAAAATAGAAATATAAAAATATATACAAAAACTAGCTGACCCGGCGAACGTTGTTTCCCCTTGCAGTTAATTTTCCTGGCTCAGCTGAGTTATAATATTTGTTGTTATTCAACTTAACCTTTAATGCGAAAATTATTTTGAATTGATTTTTTCTTTTGAACTACAAAAAGTCCACATGCATTACTTATGTTACAAATATTTTCATGTTATTTCAAATCCTTATAAGCACTAAATTTTAAATGAAAAAAAAATATCAATGGATATTGCAAAGCGTCGTAAGTGCGATGACTGTCTGCAATCGTATGCATTATGTTATCTCTACGTTGTATTCGTATATCTCGACGTTCAAATGCGTCGCCAACCATAACAACTGAAACTTCATTAATAGTCGGTGCATTATATCGGCCTGTGTGCTGCCCAGATGGTACTTTGTCTGCTTTAATGACGATTGTATAGTTGTCGTTTAGCAGTCTGTTTGAAACGGTATTGAACAACTCGTTGTGATTTTTTAAAAACGGTTCTAAAATACCCAGAATTTCTTGCTCCTCCATCTGCTCGATATGGTTGTACTGGCAACGTGCGTTTATTTGCTGCTTCTCATCACCCATGAAGTAGATTTGCCGAAATTTGGGATCATTATTGGGCATCGGCATTAAAGAACCAATTTGGTGATACACTTGGCCCTGAATCTTAAGCGTTAATTGAAAATTGCGACCAATCTCATTCTGAACGATTTTTGTTGTTCCAAATGATGTCATTTGAAAGCACGAATTGAATTTGCGAATTTTACGAAAAAACAATTTAGATTGAGATGTAGCTCCAGCCAATAGTGCTTTCAATGGTTCTGGCGGCAAATTCAATGGTGGCAATACAACTTTTCCAGATGCGCAGCAGAAACCGGCCGATTTACCTTTGTATTTGAGTGCATGACAGTGTTGGCACTGTTTGTTCATAGCACCGATTACAATTCGTGAATGTGACGAATAGTCGATATCCGACTCATATGTTATTCATATTGTTTTTTATTGTACGTTATTTATATCTTTATATATATAATTCTTCTTTTTTGTGTGTGTTCAAGTGAATTCAAGGATGGTTTAGATTCACAATTTGGCGCTGGCAATTTAGATGGCGCTGGCACGCCTGCCTTGAGTTTGCTCCGCATTTGGCGCTGTGAGGGTGGAGGTTTTATTCAAATAATTGGATTTTAGGTAAAAAATGGACAGTTTTTAAAAAATAATTGTGGAAAAACTGTATGTACGATTTTTATGATTTTAAGGTTTTTGGAAAGGAAATTTTATTCACTTTGAAGAAAAATTAATTCCAAAGTGGGGTCGTTTTTGCACGCACGGATATAATGATAACAGTAAAGTAAATTAAAAAAAATGTTATTTTTTAACAATTTTTTATGATAAAATTAAAATATCTATTTGAGGTTTTAAAATATGTTTTGTGATGTATTTGTGAACATTTTGCATTTTTACTTTTTTGATTTGGATGATATTTAAGCAGTTTTGATATCGAACTTCAATTCGATTTTGCGCAAATTTTGTATATACGATTTTGGTTTTTACTTTAATTGAAAGCTTGTTTTATTACCTTTCAGGTGAGTATTTGTGCAAGTCGGGGCCGTTTGTGGTTGTTTTTTAATTATTTTTTAAGTAAAAAAAGTCAGTTTTTCCAAAAAATTTGATTTTTTTATTTTTTGAATATCTCAGCTATTACGCAACATACAGTTATGAGGTATATACCAAATGAAAGATAATTGAATTTTCTATCTAATCATATTTCAAACTTAGTGAAAAAGCTTAAATTTGGCTAATTTTGACAAATTAATAAACTTAGAAAAATTTCGTGTTCCAATTCCGGCTTGGTCCCTCAGCGTCGTTGCTATCTAGGTACAGGTAAAATGACTCGTCGAAGAAATGACTCAGTAACTGAGCAAGTCTCTCCACTAAAACAAGAGCGAACATCAGTGGAACGAAACATTCTAAGCATAAAGGCGAAGGTAGAGAAGGAATTAGCGTTTGTGGATGTTAACATTTTAGAATGTCGACTGCAAATTTTGGAATCATATTTTACAGAAGGTTGTCAAATGCAAAGTAAAATTGAACGAGCATGTCCGGATGATGATAGGCGTAGCAAATTAGAGGACATATATGTCAGCATAAAATCACTTATTGTGTCGACAATCAAAAAATAAAGCCGATACGTGAAAGTTAACACAGCAGTAACCAACGTAATAATATGTAATCAGCATTATTTAGTTGAACAAATTTAATCAGCAATATTAAAATCAATAAATGTAATTATCAATATTAAAATATGTAATCAGCAATATTTTATTGCGATCGATAATTTTGCTTATTATTTATTATTTAATTAATTACTAATTAATTGTCAATTAGGTACATTTTAAGTTAAAATTTAAGTTACCTTTTAAGTGAAAATTAAATAAAGATTTAGTTTGAAAACAGCAATCAATTGTTATTTTTTTTGAAATTATAACCGCAAGAGTTCATAACTTGAATCAAGTGTATTGAATTCGTCGATTTTAAACAACTCCTCACATCATAGTCGTTTACCAGGATTGAAATTGCCAAGATTTGATGGTAAATACAGCGAATATAAACGTTTTTTCTCTGCTTTTACAAATTTAATACACAACGACCCGTCGATAACAACAATTGATAAATTTAATTATCTTCTAAGTTGTCTTTAGGGTGCGGCGTTGAGCGTAGTACAATTATTTCAAATAACCGAAGAAAATTACTCAAAGGCTTTAATGCAATTACAAATGAGATATGACAAAAAGGTATTAATTTTTATGGAACATATTAATTCACTTTTTTTTATTAAAGATATGACGAAAGGCGACTCAATGACACTCAGAAATATTATAGATATTCGGTTCACTTCTCTCATTAGGTTCGGAAGCAGACATTCTGAATGCCATAATTATTCATCTAGTGTTGTCTAAGGTGGATAACGAAACTAAAATTTTTTATGATTCTCATCAAGATTTTGAGTCATTGCCATCTTGGGAAAGTTGCTACACACTTTTAAGTCGAAGATGTCAATTTCTGGAAAGCAACTCGAAAAGATGCAATAATCATAAAGTAAATGATACCAAAAATAATTCTTTTAACAGCAAATTGACCACATTTGTTAACACCAAAATCAATTGTATGAAGTGTAATGGAGGAGACCACAGCTTAGGATCATGTCCATCGTTTGTAGCACTGACTTTTAATGACAAATTTAAATTCGTAAAAGATCTTTCTGTTTGCTTAAATTGTATACGCAAGGGGCACGTCGTTAAAAATTGTCAATCCACAGCTCGCTGTCGAATATGCAATGGCATGCATCATACGTGTTTGCATAAATTCAAACCCATCGAGCAAAATGTGAGACCAAATTTGTCAGACAGTCCACCTGGACAACTAAATTTTCCGCAATCTCCATCAATTTTTCTAGTATCGCGTACTAAACAACGATCATTGATTCCCACAGCTGTAGTATTTATTAAGGATAAATACGGGTTATACCAACCTATACGAGCATTACTGGACTCATGTTCAGAGATAAGTTTTATCACTGAAAAGATGGCAAAGCAACTTCAATTACCATTTGAACGAATAAACCAGAAAGTGTCAGGCATTGGTGATGTTAGAACACAAATTCGCCATTCAATAACTGCAACTATAAAATCTCGAATATTAAAATTTGAATGGTCATCGCAATTCGCTGTCACTAAACGTATCTCATTGAACCATCCAGAGCAGTTGATAGACACAACATCGTGGAATTATCCTGAAGGCCTTGTTTTAGTTGATCCATTATTTTTTAAACCACAACACATTGACTTATTAATAAATACGCAAGGATTTTTTGAATTAATATTAGATGAAAAAATTTCGTTAGGCACCAGCCTTCCATGTTTATTAAATACCGAATTAGGGTGGATCATCGGAGGACAATATAAAAATACGCCTACTGTCCGGGCACTCACGTTTAACTACGTTCCAGAATCTCCAGAAGTCTTAGGTGAATCATTTGAAATGGCAAAACGCAGATTCCTTTCACATGAGCGTCGGTTAGAGCATCAGCAGCTTCTCAAAGAAGACTATGTTAAGTTCATGCAAGAATATTTAATGTTAGGTCACATGAGTTAGGTCACAACTTTGACAGCATCACACCGCACTATATAATACCTCATCATTGCATATTGCGGCCTCAAAGTACCACAACAAAATTACGCGTTGTATTTGATGCATCTGCACGCACATCGTCGGGTCGATCACTTAATGAAATCTTAATGGTGGGACCTACAATTCAGCAGGATCTTATTTTGACATTATTGACATTTCGTTTGCATCGCTATGCACTGACTGCGGATATATCAAAAATGTATCGACAGTTTGTAGTTGATCCAAGAGATCGTAATTTTCAATTAGTTATTTGGAGAAACACTGTTAATGAACCTCTGCAACTTTTTCAGCTTAACACAGTAACTTACGAAGATGATATTACCAAAACACTCGGTTTGGCGTGGAGAAAGGCGACTCAGATGACGTTTTTTGCTTTCAATATAAGCAACCAGAGTCAAAGGCTGCGACCAAACGTACTATTTTATCAGTTGTTGCTCAAATTTTTGACCTTTTGGGACTATTGAGTCCTATTGTTATATGGTGTAAAATCTTGATACAGGAATTATGGATTCATCAACTGAGTTGGGATGATCCATTACCTCCAATTCTAAACCAATCATGGATACAAATTCAATCTGATTTGGAATATCTTAACCACATTGAAGTGCCAAGATATGTTTTAACATCATCAGCTTGCTACAGTCAGGTCCACGGATTTGCCGATGCTTCTCAACGAGCATTCGGATGTTGTATATATATTCGGTCAAAGCATAATGGCGTTTACAAATCCTCATTGTTAATATCGAAATCAAAGGTTGCGCCTATCAAAGCAGTATCGCTGCCTCGTTTAGAATTATGCGCTGTCGTACTTCTTTGTAAAACTTGGAACAAAATAAAACCTAAAGTATTACCATTTATTAATGAAATCTTTTTTTGGACAGATTCTAAAATTGTGTTACATTGGATGAAGATGCATTCGTCAACTTTAAATTGTTTTGTAGCTAACCGTGTTTCTGAACTGCAAGACTATTCGCGCGGCATTACGTGAGGTCACGTCCGAAGTAAACAAAACCCAGCTGACATAGTATCTCGAGACTGTCGAGCAAGCGAACTGAGGGATTTGATTTGGCTTTGTGGACCAAAGTTTTTGTCGCTTGAATTAGCAGAATGGCCAAAAGAAACATCGACAACTGAACTTCGAACAAAAGGCCTTGAACAACGGAAACCTACAGTCTTGAAATGTAGCAACAGTGGTATCGATGAACATATATTCAATAAAATTATTAACGATTTTTCCTCATTTCGTGGTATTGTTCGAATAATATCATATATCCTTCGAGTCTTTAACAAAGTACCAATAAACAAAAATCAAACCATAAACGATGTGAGTCCAATTACAGTACATGAATTTCAGGAATCATTTTTGCGTATTATATCACACCTTCAACATTGTACATATCACAGAGTAATATCATCGTTTCAATCGGGTAAAATCCTGAATTCAGACTTGCAAAAACTGAACCCCTTTTTAGATAAAATGGTCACTGTAAACGGAACATTTAATATAATTCGAGTAGGAGGACGATTGACCAATGCACCAATAGGCTTTGATGCAAAATTTCCAGCTTTACTGCCACGTGATCATCGGTTTTCTCAAATTTTTGTGGAATACTTACATCGTAAACATATGCACGTTGGCCCTAAGGTTTTAATTAGTATAATACGATCTCAAGTGTGGATAATTAATGCTCGGAAAGTAGTTCGAAAGGTAGTGCGTAACTGCGTTCACTGTTTCCACTATAAACCGAAACTGTTACAACAAATTATGGGCTCGCTGCCAGCGGATCGATTAATTGTGAACCGACCTTTTCTAATATCAGGAGTTGATTTATGTGGACCATTTTATACAACGTATCGTATTCGTAGTAAAGTCCCATATAAAACTTATATAGCAATTTTTGTTTGCTTTTCGAAAAAAGCAGTTCACACTGAATTAATATCAGATTTATCCACCAATAATTTCATTCTAGGCCTAAAACGATTCATAGCACGTCGTGGACTGCCGCAGCGCATTTATTGTGACAATGCAACAAATTTCACTGGTGCGCAGTCACTATTAAATAAATTTAAAGAACAATTTTTCAGTCAGCAAGGGCTTAGAGAAATGCTAGAGTACAGCAACAATACTGGATTTGAGTTTAAGTTCATTCCGCCAAGAGCACCTCATTTTGGTGGACTTTGGGAGGCGTCGGTGAAATCTCTCAAAACATTATTATTAAAAAATTTGGCGCAATCTAGCCTAACTTACGAAGAATTACAAACCGTGATTATTGAAGCTGAAGCGATTTTAAATTCCCGGCCGATAATCCCTGAAAGAAATTATACAGTACATACAACATATCATAATTATCACGTTGGCAACGTGTTACGTACTTAAAACAGCAGTTTTGGGAAATGTGGCGGCGTGACTATTTACACACTTTGCAGCTTAGATCCAAATGGCTTAAACCTGAAGCTAATATCATAATAACTGTTGGTCGTTTGGTAATTATTCACAATGACAATCTTCCTCCACAACACGCAACTGGGCAGAATTGTGGGAACTATAACAGGGAAAGATGAAAGGATTCGTGTAGTGGATATTCGCACTAACCAGGGTGTGCTTCGTCGGCCTATCCACAAAATTGCACCACTACCTACCGATTGAACGTTTTGAAAGGGTTCTTTCAACGGGCGGAGCATGTTGTAGGAAATCAATATAATAAACGCATCGCTCTCTTGATGTGCTTTTATATATTATACAATTTCACTTTAAATCAGTCGCGTTTAAGATCGCTGCATGTTCGGATGCCCAATCGGTGGTGTTTATTCATTTTTTATTTGACATATACCTATAGTTGCTTGCATTGTTGAATAAATGCTTATTAATAAATGAATTAGTTTTGAACATAAATCGTTGTGTAAAATAATTATTTTGAAGTTTGTTGAAATAATAAACCCTAAATTTTGTTGTATATATTTTGTTGAATATAACAAATTTTGTTATATTGTGGTACAAGAATTGGTGCTTTGGTGGTCTGCGGATTTGTGCTGTGCGACCAACAATCTCCAACAGTAATATAACAATATGGAAATACGAAAATATAGAAATAAAATCACAATTAAAAAGCTATTATAATAATTAAAACCTAAAAAATAATAAATAAAAAATAAATTATAAAATTACAAAATTCAATTTTAAATTTTAAAATTACCATTACAAATTAATTAAAAGAACTTGTTTTCCGAATTAGTAAATAATCTAAGTAAGAACCTATTTTAGATAGTTTGGTAAATAATCTGATTTATAAAGATAAAGAAAATATTAAAAAATCTAAAATAAAAATAAAAATTTAAAACTTGTTTTAAAATAAATTAGTAAATAATGTAAATAATAAAATTAAAAATAAAAAATTTAAAATAAACATAAAATATATAAAAGAACAGGTGAGATAAGTAAAATTGTGTCAGTCTCTTTGTCAGTAAAAAATGAAAAGGCGTGAAGCAATTTTTATATTGGTAAGAAAAACCAACAAAAATGTCAACTAGCAGTTTTCACTGACGCGTTTCATCTGGAAACTACCAAGACTCATCAGAATGGATTGAAAATATAAGGTCAATAGTATCTAAGTATTGTCGTATATACCTATATGTAAAAAATGTCGTATAAAAATAAAAATGTATATAAAAACTTTTAAAAACAAATACAACAATATGTAATAGAAAATAAACAAAATATTAAATAAAATATTTTATTTAATTTATAAAATTAAATAAAAAAAAATAAAAAATCTATATATAAAAAACGAATACAACATATGAAATATAAAAAAACAAAAAATAAGCAAAACAAAATAAGATACGAAATGTATAATATAAAACAAATATTTATAAATAAACAAATATAACAAAATATGAATTAGAAAAACACAAAAAAATAATAAGCAGAACAAAATAAAATACAAAATGTATAATATATAAAAACATAAAAAATAAAAAATAAAAAAATAAAATTATAAAAGAATATACAAAGTATATTAAAATATATAAAAATATAATAAAGATATAATAACTATTCAAAAGAAAATAATACACATATACAGAAATATAAAAACATGGATATAATAACTGCACGTAAAAAAGTACATCCATATGTAGAAAAAATAATTTCACATTGCAAATCATTGAAGAATTATGATTGATTGATTATGAAACGACATAATTCCAATGAGTTTTATTCAGTTTATGATCAGCAGTTATGAGTTTTATTCCATTGAGTTTTATTCAGTTTATGATCAGCAGTTATGAATAACAGGTGTTTTTTGTTTTGTTGGGTGCTTTTTGACCCCACGCGACTTATTATGTTACAAAATTTTTTTTGCAAAGAAATGAATCTAGTTCAAGAAGGTCGTATTTTGAGATGTCTAAATGAGGACTGCGACATTGAAATAATAGACAACTCTAATAGAAGTAGCGGTAGAAAGAATTTTTATTCTAATTTTGATAAAGTGATTTGCTAGACATATATATTTTTTATAGAAAGTGAAATTGAAATTGATCACGTTGAAATTTGTGAACATAATTCTGAAACAGAACAAGAATGTGATTCTAATACAACAGAAAATATAACACCAAGTCGTGATGATGACATTCCTCTTTCACAGTTGTATATCTCTAGAATTAAATACTATCGATCAAACAAAATAGTAAAATAAATCATTTGCTTATAAATGGAAAAAAGATTCCCCACGTAAAGCTGTTCGAACACGTCAATGCAACATTATATCTCATCTCCCAGGGCCTAAAGCAACATGTAATGAAGCTAAAACTATCTTTGAAACATGGAATCTCATATTTTCTAATCATTGGATACACAATATTGTTAATTTCACGAATCAAAAAATTAAAATAGTCTCACAAGAGGAGTCGTGATGCGAGTGAAACTAACACTATCGAAATGAAAGCTTTAATTGGCATACTCTATATTGCTGGACTACATAAATCTTCACACAGTATAGAAAATACACAAAAATATGTGTTGGTTGCAAAAAGGCTCTCTGTCCAAGACACTGCGCAACAATTTGCAAAGATTGCGCAAATTAAAAACATGCAATTTCGAGCTGTAAAATTTTTTATTTAACTATCGAACATCTTACTTTTTTCTTTTATTACAGTTTTTTCACTTATTAGTAATTAAAAATTCATTAAAATAAAAAAGAAAATTATTTTCGTTTTGTATTTAATGATAAGTATACTAAAAGACTCCAAAAAAACAAGAAAATTTAATACAAGTTTTATGAAAATAACTTATGATATTAAAAATTATATTATTGAAATAAATCAATGTTTTTTTATTTGTTGACGTACGAAACTAAATATTAGCATCAAAAAGTATATATTTTTTCAAAAAATTTTGTTGATAAATAAACTTTTACAATGGGGTTCTAAACAACCCCACGCGACTGACTGTGTTACTAAAACGTTACGCGCAGGACGGCGGGTTAAAAAAACCTCAACATTTTTTTAAAACACAAATTAGACAAATTTATTAAAGTCATGTGTTTTGCACCTCACATTTCTTATTTTAACATATGCGCCATACGATAATATAATCCAACAAAATTAAAATTCACTGTATATAATTAAAATTAAGTACTTACGGTGCCAATAACACAAGATTTATATAAATTTATAAAAATTAAAATATTTATTTTTAAAATTATTGTTTATTATTATTGTAAATTATAATATTTTTTTTAACGCGCGCAACGATTATAGTTCACTATGTAAACAGAGAGTAGCTGTTTAATTTTGGAAACTCTGCCCACTTCGATCGAAACTAAGAGAAATTGCTTTATGAACTCCATTTTTTATAACATTTTTGCCACACTCATTATATAAGTGCGATTACACCACACTTATTCCACTTTCACGCTCTTCATGCTGCCACATAATTTTTTTTCAATTATTTACTGTGCAAGTTTTTATTTAGGCAGATATATAAATACTCGTTAATAAATTTAAATATACATCACATATAATTAAATTATGTATTATTAAATTAAATGGGTGTAATTAACAATAACGTATAATTACGCAAAATATTGTTCTGAATTTAAGTGTGTATGTAACGCAATTATTTATGCACTTTTCATAGCTATATGTATGTTTTTTATATGTTTTATAACAACTGTATTTAAGTATTACACGGCTACATTTTTAATATTAAATTATAAGCATATTTATTCTATTATACTTATTTATCCAGCTATAACCTTTTGAGCATTGAATGAAGTGTATAAAGTGTATTACATATTATTAAATTAAATGTATACAGAAAAAAACAACAAATAAACTAGAAAATAAAATCAAATATGCATTTAAGTGATATCTTCGCTTTCATCCCTTTATGCGCGTATATACACATGAGAATTATTTCTCTCACTCTCTCATGAGATGCGAAATTTGATTGTGTAAATAGTAGCATTTCAAATTTTAAAAATTATTTTGAAAATCCAAAAATGTTGATATTTCCTCAAACACGCTCGTCTTTTTTCTTATACAATCGGATTTTGTCGGCATGCAAATTTGCATTTATTTTAAGGATTAAGGAATAGAAGCGTAAACATCGTTTAAATGCACGGATGATTTATCGTCAGGAGGTGATGCTTTGCAACTATGAATGAATTATATCTTTTATATTAAATATTATTTGTATTTTCTATCTAGAAAAAAATTTATAATATTAATAATCTTGTATTCACAAAAATATGTAAATTACCAAACATTAAATTACAATGAATCTTTTATTTTAACTATTAATTTTATTGTCTATCTACGGAAAAGTTTTTAATTACTAAACATATCATAAAAAAGATTTAAAATCATAAATAAAATATTATATAAAAATTAAAATTATATAACTAAATATTAAAACCCATTTTTTCTTATAAAATCATACATAGGAGTTGCTGTTGATATTTCAGCGATTGCTTTAATATTAATTAGTGAAATATATTTGTATTGTTTGCTGGGGGCGTGTTTAAAAAATTGTCGACAAATTTGAAGTGTAATGGCAATCGACGACATCGATTGCTGACAGCGAACGATATGGTGTGTAAAACGCACTATAAACGCACTATAAAATTTTGAAGACAATGTACTATTATCAGTGCAAGCAATAAAATTAGTATTTCTTGCGATGGTTTACAAATTTATTTAATTTTGAATAATTTTCTACAATTTCCAAGGAAAACAACATATATAAAATAAATTATGGAATGTTATATTTCTTGAATTGCACAAGTTATTTATTTATGAAGATAAGTAAAATAAATTGTAATAACACTTTCGATATATCAAACACGAAATTATTATTATAAAAATTAATAATTTCTATTTTTCAGTATAAAATTTTTTTGCATAAATTTTCTTGTGAATTTTATGCTACACGCAATAGTGAATGAGTTATATATATTAATATCATATATGTTTAATTTTCGTTTTCTGTAATAACGACAACATCAAGTAGAATTTTTTAATTACACCCATTTAATTTAATAATATATAATTTAATTATATGTGATGTATATTTAAATTTATTAACGAGTATTTATATATCTGCCTAAATAAAAACTAGCACAGTAAATAATTGAAAAAAAATTATGTGGCAGCATGAAGAGCGTGAAAGTGGAATAAGTGTGGTGTAATCGCACTTATATAATGAGTGTGGCAAAAATGTTATAAAAAATGGAGTTCATAAAGCAATTTCTCTTAGTTTCGATCGAAGTGGGCGGGATTTCCATAATTTAAGAGGTATTCACTGGTGGTGAGATTACATGTATTCAATACGTGTGCTAAAATGTTATAAGAAATAAATTTTTTAAATGCAATTTCTCTTCGTTACGTTCGACGTGTGCCTATGTATTCTGTGATATTTATAATCGAAGAGGATATAAGTGGAGAGTGTGCATCACTCAAAAAATCTTAAAAATGAAGTGTTGCTAATTTCACAAAAATCGGTCGTAGAAATCAGGGAAAACATATTTGAGTTATTTTTGTGTCACATGAACTTAAATATGAGTTTTAATTCATTTTTGAATTTTCTGTAAAACCGAAATTTTTATTTTCAACTTCAACTCCATCATATTTGCATAATTAATTAATTTAATTTCGTAATTATTGTAAGTTATTTAAAAATTTAGAAAATTTTAGTGAAATTATAATAATTTATAATTTTTTATGTACTAATTGAAAAATTATCATGTTTTATATTTTTAGAGCTTAGGATATTGTTATTATTTTTAAATAAAAACATATTTTCATTTTATTAACAGTAAAATTTTAAAATTGAAAATTTGCAAAAATCCCCCTTATTTTTATGACTTTTTTCACTTCAATCTGCGATACCCAAAAATGTGTTCAAGTTTTTCCATAAAATTTTTTTCACTAATACAAAAATGTCAAAGGTTCACAAAAATTTGTATATTGTGACAAAAAACTCAATAAGTAATAATATAATTATGTATATTATATTTCTGTTAAAAACTATGTAGTATGACCGAAACTCTTAATATTGTATGCATGGGTAATTGATTCTAATTCTAAATATGCTCATTGTTTTCGGAATAGGAAAACAATGAACAAAAAGGACGACTATGATAATAAATGTAAGTGCATAGTGATGATGTGCTTTTTTCTTCTTTGATAGAACTCGATGAAAATAACTCTAGGGTGTCTAGTAACTGTGTAGTAGAAGCCTACTCTGATCTAGAGTGCAATGACACCGAAAGTTGCATTATATCAAAGGCATTTTCCAATTCAAAGAATATAAATATTGATTTTTTGTCTTTAAGACACATAATAGGGTACGTTGCTAAAAAATTAAATTTTAAAGCTTGCAATATAAAAGTAAAAAAAAGGATGAAATTTCGACAGCTCCAAGTGAGCTTCTCATCTACTATAAAAATTATACTTATCTTTCAAATTTCGGTAACCTGTTTGCGCCACCACAAAGTTTTTTTAATGTTTCTTGTAAACATGTCGACGTTTTTGAACAAGTATTCAAAAACAAAACAGATGCAATTGGCTTTAAGAGTTTAATAATAGAAATATGCAATAAAGAAACCCCTCAGTGGTTTAATGGGCCCTGTAATGAACATCTAATGCAGCTTCTTGATTTTTTAATTCTTCTTTTACTTCGTAAGCTTTACTTGTGGGCCTTAGAGAAGTCTAAAATCAACAAACATTTCTAAAATGAATAAGAAATATATTAGGGGTATTCAGTCTCTCTTGCAATCTCATTGCAAGGAGCACGAAATGCAAGAATGCTATACAAAACCTGCAAGACTGCGAAAACACCTCTGTTGTAGAATTGCATCATCAAAATGAATCAGCTGTTTTTGCAGCCGTATCACATTGAGCAAAGAAAAATAAAAGTATAACAATGCCGCGAACAAGTGAAATTCAAAAATGTATAGATTTTTTTTATTGAAAATAGTGCTTTTAATATTCTGATTGAATGTATTATCATGTTGTTAATGTAGTTTTCAATACTGTATAGTTTCTATTTGTTAGATGATGCAAATTACTGGGAAGTGATGGAGCAATTAAATGAAGACCTTTTGTTTACTTTAGTAAACTATCACGGAAATCACCAACCCGTAC